TAAATTAAATGCTAAAAACTCTAATTAACATATGTAAATGCCACATGCATGATTTAAACCTTTTAAAAATTCGAATAGTCATATATAAGTAGCATATGAAAGATAGTAAATTAAATTGTGAAAAACTCTAATATATGAATGATAGTTTTAAAAATATATTAAATTTAATACTTTTAAAAATTCTCCAGTCAATTATAATTAGCATATGAATGATAGTAAATTAAATGTTAAAAACTCTAATTAACATATGAAATTGCCACTTGCGTGATTTAAAACTTTTAAAAATCCTCTAGTCAATTATAATTAGCATATAAATGCTAGTAAATTAAATGTTAAAAACTCTAATTAACATACATATGAAATTGCCACCTGTGTGATTTAAAACTTTTAAAAATTGTAAGTATCACATATAACTAGCATATACATGATTTAAACTTGTTGAAACCTCTAATAATCGTGCGTAATTAACATATGCCATACATCAATTGATTTATATGGATAATCAATACATCCAAAATAGTTTACATCGTGTACACAATAATTACGGCATTACATCGGCGGTGACGGTTGACCGCACGTACTTTCTCCTCACTATTGTTCCCTCCTTGTGATCGCTGCGTGAGTAAGGGGTGTCTTCATTTGATAGGAGGATGCTAGGGTCAATCGTCACCGTGAAAGGGGGTTGCCCATCCAACTGATCGTAATCCTCGTCAGTCTTTTCCTCAACTCCGACGATTTTTCTTTTGCCTGGGAGAACCACTTGACGCTTAGGCTCATCAGGCCCTCTGCCCTTCTTTCCTTTGCTAGACATGTCCTTCACGAAAAAGACTTGTGTTACATCATTGGCAAGGACAAAAGGTTCGTCCGAGTATCCAACCTTGTTAAGGTCAACAGTTGTCATCCCACTGTCATCAATCATTACGCCTCCACCAGTCAACCTAACCCATTGGCACCGGAACAGAGGAACCTTGAGAGGACCATAGTCAAGTTCCCATATGTCCTCGATGGCACCGTAATACGTGGCAGTTGTTCCATCGTGTCCCATGGCATCGACACGAACAGCGCTGTTTTGGTTCGTGCTCTTCATGTCTTGGGCTCTCGTGTAGAATGTGTACCCATTGATCTCATATCCCTGGAATGTCGTGATCGACCCAGACGGTCCCCTCGCCAGGAAGGCAAGTTGTTGGTTGATTGACTCGTTACCCATGAGATGTTGTCGTAGCCACGCGGGGAAAGTATCAATGTGATGCCGTGTAATCCATGCATCGGACTTACCGATGTTCCTGGCGCGAACTAGAGCCAAGTGCTCCTCGATGTAAGGAGCTACCAATGAAGAGTGTTGCAGAACAGTGAAATGGGCTTTACGGAATAAATTGTTGTCTACCGTCGTTATTGCTTTCCTTCCGAGAGTTCCCTTTCCCCGTAGTCTCCCTTCATGGCGTGATTCAGGTACCCCGATTGGGCGAAGGTCTTCGATAAATTCTACGCAAAATTCGATGACCTCCTCTGTTCCATAACCCTTGGCGATGCTTGCCTCTGGACGAGCACGGTTACGAACATACTTCTTCAGAACGCCCATGTACCTCTCGAAAGGAAACATGTTGTGTAGGTACATAGGCCCGAGAATACGGATCTCTTTCACAAGGTGACAAAGCAGATGCGTCATTATATTGAAAAATGAAGGTGGAAATATCAACTCAAAACTGACGAGACATTGCACCACTTCATTCTGAAGGGCTTCTAATCTATCCGGATCGATGACCTTCTGCGAAATTGCGTTCATGAATGCACATAGCTTTGTTATTGTTGCCCGGACATTGTCTGGAAGGATACCCCTTATTACAACTGGTAGCAGTTGTGTCATCAACACGTGACAGTCATGAGACTTTAGGTTTGTGAACTTCTTCTCCTTCGTGCTTTTTATTCGCTTGATATTCGTGGAGTATCCAGACGGTACCTTTATGCTCCCCAAGCATTCAAACATACTTTCCTTCTCTGCCTTGCTAAGAGTGTAGCTGGCTGAACTCAAGTAATGGCTTCCTTTCTCCTTTGGTTCCGGGTGAAGGTCGCCGCGTTGTTCCATATGCTTCAGATCATTACGTGCTTCCAGTGTATCTTTCGACTTTCCGTATACACCTAGGAAGCCAAGAAGGTTTACGCAAAGGTTCTTAGTGAGGTGCATCACGTCGATTGCGTGGCGTACGTCCAAGAATTCCCAATATGGTAACTCCCAAAATATAGAGTTCTTTTTCCACATCGCCGCGTGACCATCTTCGCTCTCTATATGCTGGCTTCCAGGCCCCTTTCCGAACACTACTTTAAGATCTTTAACCATAGCAAACACTGTTTTCCCGCTGCGATGTTTAGGCTTCGTACGGTGGTCGGCCTTATGTTCGAAGTGCTTGCCTTTCTTCCGTACCGGGTGGTTTGCTGCAAGGAATCGACGATGACCCATGTATACAACCTTCCTACAGTGCTTAAGATACGTACTTTCTGTTTCATCCATACAGTGAGTGCAAGCCTTGTACCCCTTGTTGGACTGTCCGGATAGGTTGCTAAGTGCAGGCCAATCGTTGATGGTTACGAACAGCAGCGCTCGTAGGTTAAACTCCTCCTGTTTGTCCTCGTCCCACACGGGGACACCTTCCTTCTTCCACAACTGTTTAAGATCTTCTACCAGTGGTCTTAGGTACACGTCGATGTCGTTACCAGGTTGCTTGGGGCCTTGAATAATAATCGGCATCATTATGTACTTCCTCTTCATGCATAGCCAGGGGGGAGGTTGTAGATACACATCGTAACGGGCCAAGTGCTATGGCCGCTGCTCATCTCTCCAAAAGGATTCATGCCATCCGTACTCAAACCAAACCGTATGTTTCGTGCGTCCTTTCCAAATTCTTTAAATTTTCTGTCGATGTTTCGCCACTGCGAACCATCGGCGGGGTGTCTCAGCATCCCGTCCTGTTGACGCTCTTCAGCGTGCCATCGCAACATTCTAGCATTCCCCTTGTTCCTGAACAAACGCCTTAGCCGTGGTATTATAGGGAAATACCACATCACCTTAGCAGGAATTCTCTTCTTTGTTAGCTGCCCGTCAACTTCTCCTGGATCGTCCCGTCTAATCTTGTATCGTAGTGCTTTGCAAACAGGGCATGCTTCTAGGTTCTCATACTCCTCACCGCGATATAGGATACAATCGTTCGGACATGCGTGAATCTTATGAACTTCCAGTCCTAACGGGCAGACTATCTTCTTAGCCTCGTACGTTGTCTCGGGCAATTTGTTTCCCCCCGGAAGAATGTTCTTGACGAGTTTCAATAAATCGCCAAATGCCTTGTCACTAACCCCATTTTTTGCCTTCCATTGCAGCAACTCCAGAGTGGTATCCAACTTTTTGTGCCCCTGCTCGCAACCTGGGTACAACGAAGTTCTGTGGTCCTCCAACATCTTGTCCAATTTATGGGCCTCCTTTTCACTTTCGCAGTCCTCCCTGGCGTCCTGCAACATCTGACCAAGATCATCCGCAACGTCGTTACCATCAGCAGCTATTTCCTCCTCCCCCGTTTGATTTCCTTCAAATCCAACATACTGAGCAAAGTCCGGAATATTGTCGTCTTCCACTTCATCTTCTTCCATTTCAACACCTTGCTCTCCGTGGGATGTCCAACAATTATAGCTTGGCATGAACCCCGACTCAAACAAGTGGAAATGAATAGTCCTGGATGCAGAATACTCCTTCTGATTCTTACACTTATTGCATGGACAACAAATAAAACCCCTTTGCCTGTTAGCTTCGGCCACTCTCAAAAAATAGTGCACGCCGTCAATAAACTCTTTGGACCGCCGGTCAGCGTACATCCATTGCCGATCCATCTACATGAGTCAAAAAAACCGTACACAAATAATTATTCTTACAATAATGACAGTCATACAATAATTATAAGATATCTTTATTCATACAAAAATCATAAAATATTACACCAAATAATTCTTAAAAACTATTTGTAAAGTTTTAAACTAATTTTAATGTGTTTTACTTCTTTTAATTTTCATTTTAGTTTGTTTTCTATTATTTAAGATTAACTTTCACTAGAGTTTTCCTTCTCAACTATTTTATAAAACCTTGTTTAGCAAATGAACTAAATTTCTATATATTCTTTCTTCCCCACACACATTTTCTCTCTCATCAACTTACAACTAAATTTTGGAGACAAAAAAAGTGTGCAAAACATAGGTGCAAATGTAGTATGACAAACAAAAACATTGGAGGATGAAGTTGCAAACCTTTTAGGCACCTCCGATTTGTATGTAATCACCAAAATAAATTCAATAGAAATTTTGGCATGACCTCCCCTCTTTTTTGAAGAAATTTTGAAGCTTGCTCGGGCAGCTGGAGGAGGAAGAAGACATATATATAGGGGTGGGACTTTAGTCCCGGTTGGTAGCACCAACCGGGGCTAAAGATCACCGGGATCTTTAGTCCCGGTTGGTATTACCAACCGGGACTAAAGTTACGATCTTTAGTCCCGGTTTGTGTTACCAACCGGGACTAAAGATCCCGGGGGGGCCTGACAGGCCCTGACAGCATTCGAACCGGGACTAAAGATGATCTTTAGTCCCGGTTGGTAACACAAACCGGGACTAAAGATCAAATATGCCCGTTACCCTTTTGAACCGGGACTAAAGATCATCTTTAGCCCCGGTTTTTATTGCATCCGGGACTATTGTGGAAATCGGCCGACCGACGAAAGATGGTTTCTCCACCAGTGTTACTTTATTTCTTTCAAATCAACTATTTTTCTTTCCACTGGTATGGTTGCAGCACACTTGTTTTCCATAGCTTTGATAAGTATTCAATAATATTCATGCCATATAAAAGAATTGTTTACCCATAACTAGGAAGGAAGCCATCAATAAAAAGAAAAGACGACTCACTAATTAATTCAAAACATGACGAAGAATAATACTGCTGAGAATGGAAGGCACCGGGACACATTCTCAAGTCTGATACAGAAGGTATAAGGGCATGCACTTCATATTTATCAAGTTCCTCCCAAATATTATTAGTTTTAGGAAAAAGTACACCGAACGTCCCGCAACTTGTCATCGGGATAAAAAAACATTCTCGAACCGCAAAACTAGATATGCGAGGTCCCTTAACTATACAAAACCGGTCACAATAGTTCCCTCAGCGGTTGTGATCCCGGTTTTGTCCTACATGGCTGCTGAGTCAGCGTGGGATCCACGTGGACCCCACGTGTCAGCCTCCTCTTTCTTTCCCCTCTTCTCTTTCACTCGCCCTCCTCGTCGTGCATGCTCAGCTCCTACCGCCGACGCTCCGGCCACTCGGTGCTCCGCCTCTTCATGTGGGCGGCCTCCACGCTCTTCCTCCCGCTCGTCTCCTACACCGTCTCCGTCGCCGCCAAGTGGGACGCCGCGCGCCGAACACCACGGCGTCGACGAGCGTCCCGCTCCTCCTCGCCGAGGAGGCCGTCGAGCACGAACGGCACCGCACGGCGAGAGCCCGTTCGCGTACGCAGATGACCCCTGCAGCGCCAGCTACCCGCTGATGCAGAAGATGCGCGCCGTCCTCATCGAGCACGCGCTGGCCAACGGCGAGGCGGAGCGCAACGTCGACTCCTCGGTGTTCGCCAAGGTCACGACGTTCGAGGAGGAGCGGCAGTTTCAGTAGCTGCCTGCCTCTATCCAAATTGCTAAATTTGGCTATGGCATCGCAACTTCCAAAGAACGACGTTGCAAACAAGAACTTAAAAAAAAAAAAAAGGCATACTTATTACAGCATCAGCTAAGAACATCTGTGAACTGAATTTCTGAAACACGCTAATATGTTCCTATCTTCTCGTCGGTCCTCTGTTCAGCAATCAGCAGATGGGCAGAGGCTCGCCGTTCCACTCCTTGAGGCACTCGAGCAGTGCGTCGATGTGCTTGCCCAGGTTCATGGCGACGGACACCTTGTTCACCTCCTCGCCGGGCGACCGCGTCTTCTCCCCGGTCAAGTACTCTGTCCCGAGCTCCTTGCGGACGGACCGGTAGAGCGGGTACGACCTGCACTCGGTGATCCTGTTCGCCTTTGCGGCGGTGCCGTTCTCCACGGCCGCACGGGGCAGCCTCCTCTCCTCCCTGGGCAGCGCCACGCGGAGCTCCTCCTCGAACGTCGCGACCTTGGCGAACACCGAGGTGTCGACGTTGCGCTCCGCCTCGCCGTTGGCCAGCCCGTGCTCGATGAGGATGGAGCGCATCTTCTGCATCAGCGGGTAGTTGGCGCTGCAGGGGTTGTCCGGCCGCGTACGCGAACGGGCTCTCGCCGTGCGGTGGCGTTCGTGCTCGACGGCCTCCTCGGCGAGGAGGAGCGGAACACTCGTCGACGCCGTGCGGTGGCGTTCGGCGCGCGGCGTCCCACTTGGCAGCGACGTAGACGGCGTAGGAGACGAGCGGGAGGAAGAGCGTGGAGGCCGCCCAAACGAAGAGGCGGAGCGCCGAGTGGCCGGAGCGGCGGCAGTAGGAGCTGAGCACGAGGAGGAGGGCGAGTGAGAGAGAGAAGAGGGGAAAGAGAGAGGAGGCTGACATGTGGGGCCCACGTGGGTTCCACGCTGACTCAGCACCCATGTAGGACAAAACCGGGATCAAAACCGCCGAGGGATCTATTATGACCGGTTTGTATAGTTAAGGGACCTCGCATATCTGGTTTTGCGGTTTGAGGACGTTTTTATATTCCGATGACAAGTTGAGGGATCTTCGGTGTTCTTTCTCCTTAGTTTTAACATCACCTATAGAGGCCGGTGTAATTGATCAATATCTCACTGTCTGATGATTTTTCTCATGCAGAGCTGTGGGAGCTCATTGGCCATCAGCTCATGGCTGAAGTTTAATTTCTCAGTAACAAGATGGACATGTACATTGCGATCGCTCTAAGAATGCGTGATTTACAAAGCGCATTTCCACAACATGAAGTGCCCTTCTTCCCCGCTAATTAATTAGGTGTGCTACAAATGGGTAGGCTGACGATGCAAGGATGCGGTGCCGCTCGCTGTAGTTCAGTTCAGCATCGCCTTACTGCATCATTTCTGGCTAAAGATGCGGATGCAGAATAAGAAAAAAGCTGGGGTTGATTTCGCCAAACGCACCTAAGCTACAGTATTTGCACACGCTGGACAGCTCAAGAGTGTTGAAACCTTGGAATAACACTTTGACCACCTTGTTTAAGGTAACTAATTAATTAGTTCGCTGAAAAAGATTAATTACACTACTGGAGAACCCCACATCTCTCCTTGTTCGCAACCCCCTTTACTCCCGGGTAGCGAACCGGGAGAAGAAATCCGGGACTAAAGATCGCAATCTTTAGTCCCGGTTCAGATACCCGGGAGAAAAGATTCATCTTTAATCCCGGTTGGTGTTACTAACCGGGACTAAAGATGGCTGAGCCACGTCCCGGTTGATCTTTTTTTTTCATTGTTAATTTACTATTGACAATTAATCCCTGTATTTTCTCGCAAATCAGGTGAGATGCATATCCCCAAATTAAACCCCAAATCAAGTAGCATCCAAATCATTCACCTCACAAATCATCCCAAATCATTCACCTCACAAATCTAAGTTACACACAAATCAAATACATCACAAATCCTTAAATAAATTACACACAAAATAAAAACATCACAGATCCATGAATCACAAATTCTAGAAATTATACATCCACTGAATCACAAATCACAAATCACAAAAAAAAAAACGGAGGACGCCAGCCGCTGCCTGCGTGCGCGGCCTCGCCGGATGCCCGCCGACGCTGGCCGCCTGCCCGCGCTCGCCCGCGCCGGCCGCCGCCTGGCCCGCCGCGCACCCGCCACCGCCGGCCATGGGCCGCCTACGCGCCGTCGCCGCCGCCGACCGCCTGCCCGCGCTCACCCGCGCCGGCCGCCGCCCGGCCCGCCGCTCGCCGCTTGCCCACGCCGGCCACCGCCTGGCCCGGCGCTCGCCCGCGCCGGCCGCGGCTCAGCCCGCCACTCGCCGCTCGCTCGCGCCGGCCGCCGCCGGCCCCGGCGCTCGCCCGCGCTGGTCGCGGCTCGGCCCGCCGCTCAGCCGTGCAGAGGGAGGAGGGGGAGTAGAGGAGAGAAGGAGGAAGGGAAGAAGGGGAGGAGGAGAGGGGAGGGGAGGAGGAAGAGATCAGATCTGAGGGGAGGAGAGATCGAGGGGACTTAACTGATTTTATCTAGGACTTAACCGATCAGAGATGGGAGAGAAATATTCACTCTCGGTTGGTAACTCCAACCGGGACTAAAGATAAATCTTTACTCCCGGTTGGTAGTATCAACCGGACTAAAGATCTAAATGATCTTTACTCTCGGTTAGTACTGCCAACCGGAACTAAAGTGGTAATCTTTAGTCCCGGTTGGTCGTATCAACCGGGACTAAAGTTCCTTGGCCCCCTGGTAGGTTTCTGACAGGGGATGAACCAGGACTAAAGATGATCTTTAGTCCCGGACTGAAGATCAATTTTTAACCGGGACTAAAAACAATCTTTAGTCCCGGGTTTTATTAGAACCGGGACTATTGTGGAAATCGCTCGACCCTCCAAATACGTGTTATGGTTAAAAGGTATATACGCTTGCAACCATACTAGTAGTTCAGCATCGAATTCACCACTTTGCTCATCTTGTTTCTTGACGTAGTCTCTGCTACTACCCTATATATATATATATATATATATATATATATATATATATATATATATATATATAAATAAACACACACAAAGGCATACTGTATCCGTATATTCCATAAGTCATAGGATAAGAGATATGTCTTACCGGTAACCATGACAAACACTTAGTGATTTTAGGACTTAGTACATAGGTTCTCAAATCATCACAGAATACAAGGTGCTTTGGTTGGCAAGTTGGTTTGATCGGGTTAGTGCACGGACTAAACCGACAAAGACACCTTGGCAACCGGAGCACTTCTTATTCTTTCAACTTTGATAATTAAGGAACTTTAATAGGAAATATGTATGTAGTTATGTCGATATGTATTTTGATAGGAAATTTGTGGCGTCACTTAGTAAATTAATTAATTTTGTAATTTTGTAAGTTATTTAGGCGATGTCTCAGTAAGGTGAACCAATATCGATGACACTAGTGGGTCCACAAGGGCACGGACTCCTAGGACAGGGAACAAAATCCCTAAGAAACGGTAAACCATAATAGAGGTGAACCACTATTAACAACGGAATTTGGCATCAGATTCAGAGAAGAAGGACGAAGATCAAAGCGGATTTGGTGTTGAATCTAAATGAACTTGGAGTCAGACTGCGCATCGGTTGGATACTGTGCCGGCTGAAAATAGAGTATGAAGTTGATCGAGGTTGATGAAGCCAATGGCCGATACAGCATGACTTGGTCTCGGCATAGGCCTAGAGTGGGAAAATCGTCATTGCCAATAAGAGATAGAGCTCGATTAAAGCAATTATATCTATTAATTAGGAATTGAGTCGGTTTGTTAGAGATTTGGTAAGGGGCCATCGTATATGTCTGTATCTTAATTATAGAAAGGTTTGAGCCATGTCCATAATGGACTGAGTTTGTACTTGGGGATATAAATATGAACCCCATAGCATTGAAATAAGGGATCCAATCTAACACAACTTCGGCGCATCGCCACCCTTTTACTTTTCTCATTTTCCGGCGAGTTCTTCGCAAGAGGTAACCCATCTCAACGGCCCGCGCTATCGGGGCTAACATGTCGCTTTAGACGTGTTAGGCTCGATATCGCGAGTCATTCCTATCGTATGTCTTAGTTAATCTATCCTTAGCTTCCCAATTTAGCTCTATCTGCTGCTGCTCGCTTTAGGGTTTATGTTGGTTTCGGCTAAATTGTCTTGTTATATTAGATTAGCTAAGGCATCTACCATCCCGAAAAGTGTCTAATTGCTTGATTATCTAGACTGCATGTTTCTTTTCAAACTTTGAGATGCATCATCCCTAGTCGTGCTTAGAACCATGCAAACTAGCCTGCAATTAGGCATAATAAGGATAGTATCGGGGTTTTAGCCAATCTTACCTAATATACATGTTTCACTCCATGTTTCATGTATATTCGCCACTTATATAGATAGATCATTTTATATAAGCATATCAAGCTTTAGTCAATATCAGCTAGACTCTTGTACCTTCATGCCTGATTTCTATTTGATATGTTTATATGGATCAATGTCTATATAGGTTTGTACTAGAGTATTAGCTAGTACGTCATCTTTCTTGCTCGTCTCATCGGCTACTTTCATAATATCGTCTTAAACCAATCTATTAAACACCATAGACAGTATTACAACCGATTGGGCGTGTTTAGGGTTTATTATTCCTTGATATATCCAGCACATAGCATATTTGGTCTAACTCCATCGGCTGAGACTATCAACTATACACTATCGGCTAATCAACTATCGAACGACTAATTCTGCTTATATTCTTTCTTGCTGATTGTAGGATCAAATCAGTTGGGACGCCCTTGACACACTCGTGGCTAGCAGTGGACCTGCATTGAAGTTAAGCAGATCTCCCAGGCCATCGTGTTTTCACATCAACAACCACCTAGGAGTGCTTACTCATGCCCCCAAGGTTTGGAGAGGTACAGGTTGATCTGCAGAGTCATAGGGTGCGAGAACTTCTCAATTCTTGTGGATGACATCAAACTAGTGCTGGAAGCCGAGAAGAACACTACTTGGCTAAAGTTCAAGGAGAGCTTCGGCTATCCTGCAGCCGACGAGGGCAGGCTCAAGCGGGCGGCTTTCAAGAATATAGGCAATTATTGGAAAATCATTAAGTCCAGGCTGGTCGCCGAGTACGTCCTCAACCCGGCTACTCCGAAGCCATATGGGCTCTTCCCATTCATCACGCCAAGAGTGTGGGAGCAGTTCTACGAGAAGAAGTCGACACCTAAATCCCGGGCCAAAAGCGAGGCTTATCAGGAACTCTAGGCTAGGAACTTGCACTCCCACCGGCTTGGCACTGCAGGATACGCCAGGAAGGAACAACAATGGTAGGAGGAGGATGAAACGGTAGGGGAATCAAACACGCCGCCGGTGTTTGGCGATATCCCACACCCATGAGCAAGGAACTGGGCAAGGGCAAAGGGTCACAAGAACGACGATGGGACAATTTCGTCGCCAAATCCCCAAGATCAACAAGTGTACGAAAATATAGTAAGTGTCTCATCTCAATATGTTGGCATAGTTTCCATCGTACTTTTGATTTAACACAAACTCAATTGTACTGCAGAAGGAGTTGGTTGCCTCGCAAGAAGCCTCGTAAGAGGCTTGCTCTTAAAGACACGAGGACGTATATTTAGGCATATACGTGCTTGCAACCACACTACTAGCTCAGAATCAAATCCTCCACTTTACTCACCTTGCTTCTTGACGTAGTCTCTGCTACTACCTTATATATATCTTAGCCTAAGTCTGAATATGTATGCGAAGGTCACAGAGCATAACATATTATTG